TTAGTCCAAATATTGACGTCTTTATCTTTTTTGTGTTCATTTATTATGCAATTTCCGAATTATCATAACAACTTTCTATCAATATCATGTACACTGTACATCCATCTCCCACTTCCTCTTTCCTTCTCCATATCCCTGCCTATTTTTCCTCGTCTCCAAGCTTCCCTCCCTCCCCCCTCTTCTCTCTCCCTCTCTTCCTCTCCCCTCTCTCCTTTTCTCCCCCTCCCTCTCTCTTATCTTTCATTCCATTTCGAATCTCTCACATAAACGTCCAAAATCTAGGGACTAGGGAACCATGTTTTCAGATTAGGGTGTCTGGGTATATTTATTAGTGATAATTAGTTTGATTATATGTAGCAATATTCATTGCAAGGGTGCAATTGTTTCTCTCACTGAATCAGCACGGGTTCGTGTTGATAGAAGGATGCAAGTGTTTCTCTCAGTGAGTCAATATAAGGACAAATGTAATGTTATCAGTATAAGATAGCAGGTATTAACATTAATGAATCAGTGTAGGGGCGCTAGTCTTTTGATCAGTACAGAAGTATTCTCTCTCTCTCTCTCTCTCTCTTTGTCATTCTCTCTCTCTCTCTCTCTCTCTCTCTCTCTCTCTCTCTCTCTCTCTCTCTCTCTCTCTCTGTCAGTCTCTCTCTCTCTCTCTCTCTCTGTCAGTCTCTCTCTCTCTCTCTCTCTCTCTCTCTCTCTCTCTCCATATCTCCCTCCCCCGTCTCTCTCTCTCTTTCTCTCTCACTCTCCCCCTCCCCTCTATCTCTCCTCTCCGTCTCTTTCTCTCTCTCCATCTCCCTCTCCCTATCCGTTTCTTTCTCTCTCTCTCTCTCTCTCTCTCTCTCTCTCTCTCTCTCTCTCTCGCGTTTTCTGTACCCCACTCTCTTTCTTCCTCTCTATATATCAATCAGCAAATCATTAAGGGCGCTGAAGCCTCCAAGAGCAAATCAATGCAAATCACTCTTAGCAGTGAATCAGTGTAAGGGGAAAGTATCTCAGGATATTATCGAGACAATCAGGGTTATACTGAGGCAATCGTGGTAATATCGAGGGTAATATCAGGATAATATCAGGGTAATATCGAGGCAAATCGGGGTTACACTGAGGCAACCAGGGAGCCTATGAGGATGGGCCAAATCCTCGGCTGTAATCGTCACACCATCCGACGTGAGGTTGCTTGATTTTTTAGCTGATTTAACGTGCCATTATTTTTTCATCGTGGATCGTAAATGTTAACTAAATATAGACACAGTTATTTTAAATATTGCAGTTAGTGAATGTAAACGAAGAATTGTACAAAATATCTGTATCTAATGGAGTAATCTAATTTTGTAGTGTTATTTTATAACCATCTATCGTGCGTATCAAAGCTTGCTTGTGCATTTAGCTGGTCTGGATAATCTTAACTTCCATTTTCTATGATGACTATTCATAAATTTTCAGCACAATTCGTAGGTGATTATACGTAATCTCCCCCCCCCCCCCCAAAAAAAAAAAAAAAAAAAAAAAAACACTACATTATATTACCGCATAAGTTCGCTTGAAGGTTAACTAGTGATTATAATCATTACGGTCGTAGGCAACTTATAGTAATATTGAGGAGCGTTATGATGACGGTGATTATACAGAAGCAATCACTATACATAAAATAACATCCTATAACAGTAACATATAATGTTTATAAAACTGTAAAGATAAACAATGGTTTAACAGTTACATACAATCTATCTTGCAATGACTGATCTTTAATTTAATTCTAAACATCTCCATCTCGCATCAAAATTCTGAGAATTACGGCGAAGCCATCCCGTGTTAGTCGCATAAAACAATAAGAATCGCAAGGGACGAAGAATCTCTTACGCGTAGTATTCGATCCGGAAAAAGTGCAGTACATAAAAGATTCAATAACCCGGAGGATCTCGGCCGCCGGGCTCTCGCTGATTATCGCTTGAACTTCTAATCTTAAAATTTTAATTAAATCAGAGTTGTTTTTCTGTCTTTCAAACGAAAAAATCTTAGCTCTGGAGAATTCTTGTTCCCGCTTGTCTCCCAGCAACATATGAAAATGATCTTTTAATCAAGTTTTTTAATTCCGTCGCCACATTTTTATTTTCCTTTTGTTCTGTCTGACGCGCGCTGCCTCACCTGCGAGGAGCCGACTGTCGTTTGTTCTTTTATTTACCAGCATTCAGCGGGCGGATCCTGTTCGTTATTATTCTCACATTTCGATGCTAAAAACCCGGATGTGGGTGAAGCTTGTGTTGAAACAGTAACAAATTTGATAAAATAAGATGAATTAAAGGGATGACAAATACCATCGCTGGCAACATAGAAGCTTGAGACTTTATTAAACAGATTTCATTAAGAATGGGACTCGTCTTTACAACAAATCATATTCTTTCACGGATGTATACATTAACACGCACATTGATATGCATATCTGTGTGTGTGTGTGTGTGTGTGTGTGTGTGTGTGTGTGTGTGTGTGTGTGTGTGTGTGTGTGTGTGTGTGTGTGTGTGTGCATACATGCATACACATACATATATATACATAAATATACATATACATGTATACTCATATATTTGTGTATGGACACACACACACATACACACACACACACACACACACACACACACACACACACACACACACACACACACACACACACACACATATATATATATATATATATATATATATATATATATATATATATATATGTATATATGTATTTATGTATATACATATGTATGTATATTATGTGTGCGTAAATATGTGTGTATGTTTGTATGTACATATATATTTATATGTGCATGTGTATGTATGTGTATATATATACATATACATACATATATGCATATATATATATATATATATATATATATATATATATATATATATATATATATATATATATATATATATATATACATATATATGTGTGTGTGTGTGTATGTATATATATAGATGGGTAGATAGATAGATAGACATGCTGTAGATACAAGTGTATATATATAAATACACAAATGCACACACACACACACACACATATGTGTGTGTGTGATGGTGATAATGATAGCAATAATAATAATGATGATTAGGAGGAGGAAGACGACAATGATGATAATGATGAAAATAGTAATTTTGATATTGATGATAGTAATAATGATAATGATAATAATGATGATAACAATAATAGTAATGGTCATAATAACAATAACGCTAATAACAGTAGTAATGATAATGACAACAATGATAGTGATAATAAAAATCATAATACTACCACCACTACTATAATAATGATAATAAAACTGTTAATGATAATAATAATAATAAAAGTAATAATAATGATAATACTAATAATGATAATAATGATACTAATAATAATACTAATAATGATAATAATAATAATGATAATAATAATAATAATAATAATAATAATAAGGATAATAATAAGGATAAGAATAATAATAATGATAATAGTAATAAAATACTACTACTAATAATGATTACAATGAGAGAACTGTCAATGAAAATAATAGTACTACTGCTATTACTACTACTGGTACTACTGCTGCTACTACTATTCCCACTATTAATAACAAGTGATAATAGTGATAATAATGATAGTATTGATAGTAATATTAATAGTGATAGTAATATTAATAGTGATAGTAATATTAATAGTGATATTAATAACAATAACATTAATAATGATTATGGAAATAATAACAACAACAGTGTTAATGATAATACTGATAATGATAATAATGATGACAATGATGATAATGATGAAAACAATACGATAAAAACAACAACAACAATAATGATAATAATAATGATAATA